ATTCGTTGAAACTACATCAATACATCATTACTAAGTGTAAACAGCACAAACCATATACACTGAAGAAGGTTTAATTCCATGCTATTCAATGACTTGTATGGTTGTCAGCGGCCATTTTTGAGGGTGCGACATTGTTGCCAGATTATGCATTAATATCCCGAAACGTTGCCAGCTCTGCATATAAATCTGAAATTGCTATACTTATATATATATATATATATATATATATATATATATATATATACAGGGTTATCCAAATTAAGTGTCCACCATTAGTAACTTTGTTATTAGTGAAAATACAAAGTTGTTTGAATTAGCAAACTAGTAGCATTTTTAACGCTGGTAAAAATGAGAAATAAAAAAAAACAATTGAGAGTCGTTATTTTGATTTTTTTCAGTAAAATAACATTTTTTTAAATGGAAACCCCTGTATATTATATTTTTTTCTGTTAAAGCATCAAATTTTAAACAAAAAAGCTCACAATAACTTTTCTCCTAGGTTACAAATTGTTGAAGTTATGGCCTCCAATCTGAAACAATTAAATTGTATCGACAAACTTTATTTTCAACATCAACTTATAATCTTACAAAATACAATAACAATTTTTTTTAAAGAAGATGCTCGAAAACACCACCTTGTTCTTCAATACATTTTTGGGCACGTTTTTCAACTGCTCGAACTGTCTTAAGTATGGTCCTACCATCTATCTGGGTTATCTTTTCCCTAACTGCAGTCTTTAACGCGTCAAGGTTATCGTACCTTCGCTTGTAAATTTGGTTCTTTAAGTAACCCCACAAGAAGTAATCAAGTGGGTTTAGATCTGGTGATCTGGGAGGCCACTGTATTGGGCCATTTGTTCCTATCCACTGATCATTAAAAGTAGTACTTAGAAAATGATAAGTACCTCTGGAGTTGTGGGCAGGTGCGCCATCTTGCTGAAAATGCAGATGATGTCTACTTATAAGATCCAATTCGTCTAAGAAATTAGTCAGAATTTCTGACATAAATTCCACATATCTTTCACCAGTTAGGGTTCCCTCATAAAAGAACGGGCCAACAATTTTTGAACCAATTATACCGCACCAAACGTTGAAACTGAAACGGACTTGTGGGCCTCTTGGATGTACTAGCAAAAGATTTTCTCTTGACCAATAATGGTGGTTTTTTCTATTAAACATTCCAGAATTTGAAAAATTTGATTCATCTGTCCATAAAAGGTAACGAAAGTTATTTACATTTTGGCGACAGAAGCTAAGATACCAATGGCAAAAAACAAGTCTTCTCTCTGGATCCCCTGCCAAAAGCGTTTGAACTGGTCGGTACTTATACGGAATAAATTTGTATTTTTTTAAAATGCTTTGAACAGTACCATAACTGAAATTAGAGTCCTTGAGAATATCTGCTATTGAATTCTCACGATAAGCTTCAAAATATCCAATAACTGCAATTTCCGTGGCCTCGCTTATTATGAATTCTTTTTTTGCCCTTGTTTTAGCAAAAACATTTTCGTTGCCCCTAAATTTTCGATAAAGTCTCAGAAAATATCGTTCATACGGTTGAATGCGAGCGGGATATAATTCACTGTAGTATTCTCTTGCTCTCAAGGAGGATTTTCTGCACACTAAATAGCATTCTAACATATCACACTTTTCTTCATGGGAGAACATTTTTCTTTAAATTAATGACACAATAAAGCTTATAAACAAGTATTTACACTAATGTTTGACATTATTTGATTTTATCATTGTTTTCCAAAGCCTTCTAGTTGCGAGTATGTCCAGTTTAACAATTTGTCGCTTATCTTAATGCTGTCAAATCGCGAACGCCATGTTGTTTTCATAGCCGTCTTAATATTATAATACTGCAAATAATTAAAAATATTTATCGTTATTTTGACTTTATTTTTGACTTTAGCGGAAAAGTCATTATGAACTTTTTTGTTTAAAATTTGATGCTTTAACAGAAAAAAATATAATATACAGGGGTTTCCATTTAAAAAAAATGTTATTTTACTGAAAAAAATCAAAATAACGACTCTCAATTGTTTTTTTTTATTTCTCATTTTTACCAGCGTTAAAAATGCTACTAGTTTGCTAATTCAAACAACTTTGTATTTTCACTAATAACAAAGTTACTAATGGTGGACACTTAATTTGGATAACCCTGTATATATATATATATGGGATATGGGAGATCTTATAACAGCATGTGTTACGTGTTACTAACATTTTGCGCTATCCTGAAGAATAAATGCTTTTTTTGTATGTTAAAATAGCAACTTCAATAACACAAGCTGTTATAAGATCACTCATATCTACTTACTAATCTGGAAAGGTTCAAAAGAAAAACATATACTACAAATACCTAAATATATATTTGTTATATAAATCTCATACATTTTTCCACAAACAAATCTATAGCTTAAATCGCGGTACAAATACAGTACCAGTTCCGAACGGTTCAGAACTAGAAAAGTTCAATGCTTTGCGCATGCGCGGTTCAGTGCTGGTTCAGGATTTTGTGGGTACCGCGATCTCATGAAAACTGGCGATGACAGCTCTATGTCTATGACAGTTGACATTAACACTTTGCGCTTGACGTTGACACAGTGTTGACACATGAAAAGTCTTTGACTGACGTTTCGTCGTTTATTCCTCAATCTCAACTGTTTTTATGCGGTTTTTAGTGTATGTTTTATGGTTTTAAGTTGGAAACTGGCAAATCGGGAAAAGAAAGAAAATTATGTCACTCCAGGGTGATGAAAATACTCACAGTGTTGGTAAGAATTATAGTTGAACAAAAATCATACAAACAAACTAAATCTGGATTATTTTAGGATGCAGTGAATACATACTAATCAGTACAGAAGGTAATTCTGCAATTCAATCACAGTGGCAATCCCAAAATGCAGAGGTTTCATATAAATGGACACGACAGAATACGTTACTGTTTTTGGATTTATATAAGAAATATAAGCAATTGCTGATGGCTGGGAAAATAAAACTAAAAAAGTTGTACGAATCCATTGCCAATGAGATCAACCAGAGAACCAATGAGAACGTGGCTCCATCAAACTGTGAAAATCGATGGAAGGTATTGGAAAGAAATTACAAAAAATTTTGTGACAATAATAAAAAACAGGCAGGGGTAGAGGCTTTTTTGAGTATGCGGACATAATGGCCGACATATTAGTGGACAAAAAGAATATCAATCCAGTGCTCCTGTTATCAAGTAACACGGTAGAACACTTAAAGGAACCCGAGATATCTGATACAAGCAGGGTTGATATGCTGAACACTCCTGCATTGGAATCACCAGAGGAGCAATTATTAACCCCACACTCATCCAAAGAAACACCACGACGCCGACATCACAAAACTAAAACGTATCCTAATAAACGTCTGAAGTATAACATTTCACAAGAAATCAGAGACGATAGGAGAGAGTTCTACAAGCAGCGATTAGATGTTGAAAAACAAAAGATAAATATGGCAGAAGAGAGGAACATACTCTTAAGAAGGCAGATTGGAAAGAGAAAAATAGAGTCCTCAGTACTAAAGTTAAAAAATTAATGATTGTTATTTATATACTGGAGCCACTAAATGGGCAATATAATCATAGAAATTTTGCTGTAGTAACAATAGCAACCGTATATGATAATGTTGCAGCATATGGTGCAGTTATAGCAATGTATTTTGACGAAAAGATTGCCCGTTTACAGGCTCCATAAGAATTTAAAATAAAGTTTGTATGAAAAACATTAATTTATTTCCAAAATCATTTAAACAGATTTATATTAAATAAGGCCTAGACTAATACAGATAAAAAATATTGCTCCGCTTATGCACCTTTCAGGTACTGATCTGTGGGCTATCCAATATGAATAAACCAAAAATAAATGCATACCTGAAAAATAATACACTAATGGGAACAATCAAGGGATCAAATAGCAATTTTAAATTTTAGTGAAGCGCTGTATCTGTGAAAAATGATCATATTAAGGTTTTACAAGTTATCTAAAGCCTTGAATGTCCAGTTTTTAGATGTTTAGTCAAAAAGTTTAATTTTGAGGTTTCATGTAATCCAAGAGAATAGTGCGAGGGCAACAACCGTTCCACAGACTGAAATTTTTTTTCACTGAACCATTTTATTAGATCAATAGCCTGTAAATCAACTATGTAAAAACATTTTTCATCCTCCCATATAGGCTGAGAATAACAGTAAAAAATGGGGTAATTTTAAAAAAACTCATGTAGTCGTTACATAAACAATTTAAGAAGGTACGATCATGTTTCTCACTCAATATCTTCAATGAATTGGTTGAAAATTTCTGATCTTTTCAAATACAACTTTGTTACATTTGTCGTAAAAATATTAAAAACTTCTGTTCCTGTTTATCTTATGCAAAAGCTTGTTCGTAGGAATTTAATTCACAATTTGAATACGCGCAACATTAATCTCCTGACAATGCCACAACATAGGACAGCCATTTTTCAACGGTCTTTTACGTATAATGCGGTGAAATTGATCAACTCTTTCGAACAATGTTTCATCAGCAACTTTTCTAAAAAAAAATATAAAAACTACTTATTGAGCTCTTAGGTTATTGTCCTCTCTTTGAATCGTACGTATTATGTTTTTTGTTCTAATCGTACGCATTATGTCATATTTATTAATTCTTCTTTTACTATTATTCTTCTTTTTCCTTTTCTTTTTCAGTTTTTTTTTTTTTTATTTTATTTTGAAGGTAGTAATAAGCATTGACATTTATGGTTAAGTGTAAATGGCCATTGGCCAGACTTCGCCATTTGTAAGGATACATAATTATGTATGTGTTACAATAAAGTCCATTGAATTGAATTGAATTGAATTGAATTTTATGGTTTTTTCCAGTCCACATATGAAGGAAGATAAATGTTTTTGAAACGAGTGATCTCTGATCCTGTTAGAGGAATTGACTCCAATTTTTTAAACAACCCTTAGGTCTTCTGTAAGACGTTTACAATATTATAGGAAGACGATTCATGATGTCATATCGCCTCTCATTCCCATTCCTGTTGTTGTCATCTACAGTATTATCAAGGACCTGGTTTATTGGCAATTCTGTATTTTCAGGGACTATAACAATTGTCTCTTCCAAACATATATTATGAAGGACTGCACAAGCTCGAATAAAATGAACTATATCTGCAATTTTGTGCATTTTTATGTGATACAATTTTCTCCATTTTTGTTTAAGAATTCCAAAGCAATGTTCAATAATATACCTATTTGTTGCAAGCAAATAGTTATAATTTTTTTGCCGCCTAGTGAGGTGACTGTTATCCCTGAAAGGTGTTAATAAATTAACCAGACATGGATAAGCACTGTCTCCAAGTAGATGATACTGTCCACACATCTCTGCCAAATGATCACCAAGGTGATGCTGAAAAAACTCTGCTATCATGAACAGAGCCAGGAAATCCCAGAAATATATCCCGAATTCTTCGCATGCGTCATGATAAAATAAAGCCTACAATTAATTCTATATCAAAATCTAATTGTAACTTGATATTTTATAGATACTGTAGGGTAGTCTTGCAATATTTATTACTTGGATGGAGTAGAAACTTTTTCTATTGAAGTACGATTCTGGATCTTGTGATGGTTTATCAATTCTAATGTGTGTACCATCTAGAGCACCTATCACACCTGGGAAGTTATTTTCTGTAAAATGTTGGCTTATAATGACTTTTTCCTCTTCATCTGGCCATCTTATTACTTCTGGGGAAAGGTTACTCAAAAAATACGTAAGCCGTTTTATAATCTTGTGCAAGCTGCTTACTGATATGTTGAATCTGTCGGCTACATCTCTGTTTGAACAAGCCTCATTTCCAGCATACCATAAAAAAACAGTTATAAACTTCAGTGCGCTAATTTTCTCTGAATCACCTTCTCTGCCGACTGAAAAGTATTGTGATACAGCAAATTTTTCAGCAAGATACTCTGTTTTTTGCCGGCTCATACGGAAGTGGTCAAAATATACGTTGTCTGGCATTTGCCGAACAACGTCTTCAAAATATCCCTCACACTTTGGTATTTGAATGAGGTCCAATGTCTCTTCTAAATCATCATCGCTGGAGCTGAAGTGCTCAGATGCATCACTGATATCTGTAAAATTAGTCTATACATTCGCTTATTTACAATAGCAGTAAAAAACTTACCAGACATTGCTACGTGTCCTATCAAATAAGTTGTTTAAAAATTTTTACTCACAACTAAACAAGTAGGTCACGTTCAAATTGCCCATAATCGATAACTGCGCATGTGCGAACTCTGCGTCCTTCGACCGATTCAGGAACTGTTAGAACCAGTTCAGGACTAATTCAGAACCGGTCAAATCGGTGCCGCGATCGCTGAACTAACTGTTCACTGATGGTTCTCTCTGTACCGCGAACGCTGTTTATGACACTGCGCAGGCGCGAACGGTTCATAACCATTCAGAACTGATACCGCGATTTAAGCTAGTATTAACATCATTATGGTTCAGATGTTTGCATTCCCTAGCCTTTGTTGGCACCTGCATAAATCAAGAATTCGAAAAAAATTGAATTGTGTTGATATGTCACTACAATCCATTCTTTTATTATTAGAACAATAATATGATTGTCCACGGGTACCCACAGGAATTCCCCATCATCAAGAGATAACTGTTACCAGGGCACCCATGTTATTGTTCAATAACAATACTTGGCTTTGATTTCATTGAAATTATAGTGAGCTTTACATATCAACCCTACTGCTCTGATAATAGCTGTTTTAAAACGAAGTATGGAAACTAACTTGGACAAAAAGCAGTACAAATCATCATTAGTTAGCGAGTCATATGAAAACTTACAAATGTTGTATTCTGCAAACATCATTCAAAGCTGAGCCTTTTGGTTAGATCAGAAGTAATCTCTGAGTTTATGATAATTCTCAGGACCTCAGGGGTTGACAACGGCAGCTGGTGAGATGTTCGTGGCGCTCCACTGTTCAAATACTAATGTGGAGATAAAAACAGGTACGATCTTCAAATATTACATTCCTAAAATGAGTAACCGCTGCATCTCCGATCTTCCTCAGGATCTGCCAGAAGCCTGGCTAATGACTTGGATCTCCTTAAAAAGGAAAGTTTTGCTGTGGAGTTAGTTTTATAGTATTTACAAACACAGGTATTACAGCTTTGTGTACTTACAATGTTATACTTCACAACTCCGAACAAAACGCGTATAGCTCAAATAACATAATAGGGACTTGATTTAATTCAAATGAAATGTTAAGAAAATGACATGCTGATAAAAAGTACGGTTATTTTTGCAAAGCACAGAGCACAGGAAGAAACCCGCCGGAAATTTAAATCTGGCCAACCGACAACGTCAGTTGTGAATAAGTCGCCATTTTTTGAGGGTGCGACATGGTTGTCATATTATGCACCAACAACACTGCTTGGTTTCCCATTCGGCACTATGAGTTTCACCCCGCTGGTAAACAGTAAATTAGATGTCTATCACGGCGTTTGCTTACTAGCGATGTAAAATATTTAAGTAACAGTTACAAAGTAAGCGTTACTTGCCAGGACTCAAAGTAACTAATAACAGTGATAAAAAAGACTCGTTCTTTTTGCTATTTAGTTACTTTTTTATTTTAGACTTTGCACTATAACTTCTAATTCTAAATTATGTCACTCATTTCCGCCAGTATGTCTGTCCTCTAATCATTGGCATACTTGGAAAGTATTACATGAAATTTCCACACAAGGCTACCACTATGCCAAGGACATATAACTTTGGTATATTTTGAATTGAAAAAAAAGAAAAATCGCTCAAACTTCATTTTTGACGTTTATACGTTTCCAGCCCCAGAACACAACGCATTTATTACAGCAATACCGAGCAGGGCCGTGGCATAAAAGCGTAAGATGTGTGACCTTGTCGCTCGACATCAACAAAGCATCTGTACCGAACTTGTTATGTTGAAGATATATGCAGCGGAGCCAGCTCCAGTTCCTTTGGGTCTCTTCCAGATATCCTACGAATCCAATATTTTCCTAGAAAACTGGAAAATCGCTCATGTCCAGCTCGTCCCAAAATAGGATCTAAGCCCAACCGTTATAACTATAGACCTATAGCTCTGCTTTCTGTTATAAGTAAGGTTATAGAATGATGCATAAATCGGGAGTTTCTGGAGTATCTTGAAACTTACGGCTTGATTAGCGATAGGCAGGATGGTTTCCAGTACCAGCGATCAACCTAGCTTATGTCGCGCAACGGAGGAATAAACCTATCCAATCACATGGTGAGTCTTATGTCGTTTCTCTTGATATCACAAAAACTTTCGAACAGATTTGCAAATGTGCGACTGACTTTTCGTTGCAAGATATCCGTCCTGATTAAAAGGTTCCGCTCTTCACAATGTCAACGCGGATGGATTTTGATATATGAGATCTCTCTAGATTTTTATTGACAATGCAAGTGACAGTGTGCAAGTGACAGTAGGTATACTAAAATTTTGTAAAATCAAAATGACGTATTTTAAAATGAAATATTAGGATGTAGCTTTTACGAAAATATCATTTTTTCTTTAAGGAACCCTCTGCTTGCTATTTTATGGAACTTCAAAGTTGCATTTTTGGTGGTAATACTCTGTTTTATACGCTGTTTTTTTTGCTTTTTGCAGTAAAGGATATTCTAAATTATAAGATTAGAACATACACTATGAAAAAAGGTTCAAACCTAGCCGTTTTATTACACATTAGCTTATTAGCTATAATAACAGTTCAAAATACATACGTAAGTACAAATAAGTCTCAATGTCCATTTTATAACGATCATTTCTTGACAGATAAGATAAATGATGTCCATTGCTGCCAAGTTGTACTTTTTTGGGAGATAACGTAATAAAAATATGGGGTTATTTGCAAAATAAACGTCTTAATTTAATTTAAATGATTAAATGGCTTGTGTTATAAGAATTTGTCCCAACATTTACTGAAGACTAGATGAAATTTTGAACAGTATGTGTCTAAGCAGTGGAAAACGCACCAGCGGCTTGCGTGACAAAAAATACAATAGGCACCAGCGGTCACCTTATATAAAAATACCCAACTTCGATTAGTCGGACCACGTCGCTAGGTCCACCCAACATAGAATCGTTCAACAGTATGGTTAAATAGAGACCGACGACCATTCCATCAAATCATCAAAAAACTTGCAATGATCTCTTTTGTTATGTTTTCATGATTTGGTAACTGGCAACAGACACCTTCCCGGTAATTTCTCATATATATACATATATATATATATACATACATATATACAGGGTGACTTTGAAGTTGAGTCATTAATTTTCAGATAATGATTGTAGAAGGAAGATAAACCAAAATATGTGTGTAAAAATAAAAAAAAAATAAAAAAAAAAATTTTACCTTGTTTTATAAAGTATCCTCCCGACAAGTATTTCAGTGCGGACCTGTATTTGATCGTGAGGTCCCCTGTGAGGTCTTAAGTCACCTGATTCACGAGCCCGTTGTACTACATTAACAAAGGCACGAGGGGTTGGTTGCACTCGATTGGGAAACCGATCCGCATAAACATGTGCCATTTTTTATTTCGTTTGAGCCACGCAACAGAAACTATTCACACGCTAACCGACAGATACTGACTGTATGTATAACTGAACTGAATAAAACACTTAATTGCAAAAACGTCGTTCCAAATTCTTTCGCTTTTTTGTTTCCGATGCGATGAACCGGTAAGGCGGATTATATCCGTTGTTGCCAAACACGAGTACATGATATTATTATTGAGACAGGGCGGTACTCAAACTTCCAAAGGGCTATAACTTTGTTACTTTAATTTTACCAGAAAAATGGTAAAGGAAAAAAACATTTCTTTTGATCAGATCTACTCACTGTTAAAATAAATGACTCAACTTCGAAGTCACCCTGTATATACAATCATATTAAATTATGTATATTTTGTGATATCGGATTCACTTTAAATAATTCTTCAAGTACATACATAGGAAAAGTAGATAGATTTTAACTAAAATATAGGAAAACCAATAACCGAAGTATTTTTGTGAAAGGCGTACAGCATTCTTCCGAAAAGTGTCTTTATATAGCTAACGCCATTGTAAGGTGCGAGGTGAATTTAGTACAGTAAAAACTGCCGGCCACACCTCCATATCGCATTTTCATGGCAATCCGGTGCCGATTGCACATTTTTGCGACAGTTGTATAAGTAAGAATTTGACAAACCAAATCAAGGTATATTATATATGATTTGGCAGCATCGCAACTAGATAGAGAAATATTGATAGTGATGGTGGTGTAGTGATGGGAATATTTATCTGAAATAAAATAAATGACTACATAACAATGATCTATTTTCATCATTAAAATAATGCAAAATTGCATTACTGCGATGAACAGTGTCACAGTAATATACAGTGTATATTATATTCATATAATTTTGAGCAATATTTTGTGTAAACAGGAAAAAACAGCTCATAAAGCAGTATTCTATACCACAGTATTACCACCCAAAATACAACTTTGAAGTTCTATAAAATAGCAAGCAGATGGTTCCTTAACGAAAAAATGATATCCTGAACATCCTGAATTTGTATATTAAATATTCAATTTTGTTAGTTACTGCAGTCGGATTGAACATATTTTTTAAAAAATGTGCTTGTTATTATTCACTTAGAAGAAAAGCTACTTCTCGGCGGGGTGTTGCGACAAATAATGGTAATTTCTCATGAAAGCCGTGAAAAAACATTCATATATAGCCAGTCAAATGCAACTACATCTGCCACTGGAGCAAGAAATGACGAGAAAACCACATATGTCGAAACACGTACAGCTGAGGCAGATCTAACTGAAAGGTGAACGAAGCTGTGTGATAATACGCTATCGTTTTGCGTTGGCAAATAATAGGGATTTTGCAGTGGCAGAAGCTGGAGCAGTAGCACGTGAAATTGGCATGCATTACACGTTGCGGTACCGAACATGATGATTGCTGTTTGTTTTCGATCAAATGCCTAGTCGCGGATTAACATAGATGGACCCGGCAGATGCAGGTGCCGATAATATGCAGAAATTATTGTCCATTCAATAATAGAGCACTTTCACGTGGCAGCGGCTGTAACAGACATAAAGCATGAATGCGCAATTTCACTAATAGTTC